CTTACTATTTTTATTTTCACTCTCCCCTTCCTTTTAATTTTCATTTTCAGAGAAGAAAAATTGGGGGGGGGGAAGAGCTTCACCCAGGAACTACTGCCATGCACCTGTGTTTCCTGGGCATCCAGTTTTCCTCAGCTCTGCAGTGACACAGGCCAATAATTCAGTAACCTTTATGCTTTTAGAAACAGTAACCAAGTTTCAGACTAAAAGTATTTTCCCTGGTCCTTCACAGCTCACCATGAAAATTATTTGGCTCTTTCTAAAACTACACCTATAATTCCTCTCCTTTCTTCTTTCTACTTGTTATTTTAAAAATTCAGATCTACAGAAAAGTTCCAGAGTTGTTACAACAAACGCTTGTATACCCATCAATGTGACTCATTAGCTTTTAACATTTTTGAAAACTTTTTTAAAAAGTTTTTTTTAACTATTTTAAAATCACTTTTTTCCTTCTAGTTTTATTGATATATAACTGACATATGGCACTGTGTATTTTTTTGTGAAGGGGAGGTAATTATGTTCCATTTGTTTATTTTTGATGGAGGTACTGGGGGATTGAACCCAGGACCTCGTGCATGGTGAGCACACACTCTATCACTGAGCTGTACCACCTCTGCCCCTGCTGTTAACGTTCTACCGCTCTCTCTCTCTCTCTATGTCTGCACACACATATATACAGACACACATATGTGCTTCTTTCTTCTGAATCATCTGAGAGTAAGTTGCAGATATCACAACTTCACCCCTGAATACTTCCGCATGTAACTTACAAGCACAAGGATATTCTCATACAGAACCACAAAGCAATGATCAAATTCAGGAAATGTAACATTAATACGTGGGGCCAGGTGCCCAGGGACAGAAAGGCTTCTACCCTCCTCTAGTCTCTCCTGGGCGGGGCCTCTGGGATTAACACCTTACACTCACCGCGCTCACCTCCCTGAGCTGGGCTGGAGGACAGAGGCCCGATCGTGGAAATAACAGAGCATCCTTTGCTGCCTCCTGGGTTCCCACCTCTGGTAAACCTGAGAGCCTGTCCTGCTCTAAAACTTTCCAACCTTCCCTATAGCCAAAAAATTCACCCTTACCCCCGCCATTTTCCCATGTGCTCCATTCTTTGGAAATAGGGGGAAGAGGATTTGGACTCAAGCTCTGGTTCCCTGACCTGTGTGACCACGAGCAAGTTCATGTTCTGGGCCTTACTCTCCTCATCCTTAAAATGCAGGAATCGTCTTTCTCTTTGGTTGGGGAGGGGGAGGTATTTAGGTCTCTTTCTTTATTTTTTAGTGGAGGTACTGGGGATTGAACCCAGGACCTCGTGCATGCTAAGCACACACTCTACCACTGAGCTATACCTTCCCCCCAGGAATCATCTTTAATATCATAAAATAAATTAAAATGAAAGTGTTTTGTGAACCATCATACCGCTACAAAAATGTAAGGGGGCATTATTACTATAAATGACATCTTCTGAGGTATTAATAACTCAGTAATGAGTCAATGCTCCCACATTATCAGGGCAGCCTGATGAGCTGGGAATCACTCTGAAGCCAGAGAGAGCCAGTCTGCCATTAATTACTGGTGCTGACCTTGGGCAAGGTCACTTAGCCTCTCTGGGTCTCAATTTCTTCATCTGTAAAATGAGATCCCAAGACCTACATTGTAGTTTGTTGCTGGGTGTCTGCTGAGCCACTGGGCTTGCTCGACTGACAACGGCTGGAGGGGGAGGAGGGAGGGAGTGAGGGCTGAGCATTCAGATAAGAGGTTATGAGAGAGTGAATTTCAATCTTGGCTGTACTTGGAGCCAGTAACATGGAGAGCTTTTTAAAAATCCAATGCCCAGGCTGCACCCCACGCCAGTGAGCGAGACCGGGCATCACTATTTTGAAATCTCCCCAGGTGATTCCAATGCTAAGTGAGCTAATCAACCTAACTCCTGCTGTCCTTTCTCTTTTCCTTTGGGACCATGACCCAAGAGGGCAGCTAACGGTGGGCAACACTAGATTTGGGGGAAAGGAGCTTCAGGATGGGCGAGCCTTTCAGGTCCCCTCGAGCACAACAAGCAGCTGTGCACTGGGGCTATTTCCTGACTGCATTTTGGTCGAACTTGTTAAGTGATGTCATTTGAAAGCTAAAAAATGTCCTGCTTGCCACACAATGTTGATGCCTTCCTCCCTCACCACCCCTCCCCAAGTACAAAGGATTATTTTTATTTTTAAAAATGCTCCTGAATGATAGTTTTATACCCAAATGATGTTGAAGCTGCCTGTTGAAAAACATCAACAACGTACTTAAATATATAATAAGCACATTATGTGTTTAACCTGGGGTTAACCAGAGACTTGTCATCCTGACCACATGTTGTGCTGTCAGGAGACCACATGGGTCCCCCGCCCCACCGCCTCATGCTGGGCTGGTCCCTGGCCCACATTTGAATAATTTGGGCTTGGGAATGACAATGAAGCATTGTGTTTATGTTGTTAGCATGTTTTTATGGACTGGCTATCATTTAGTGTCTCTACCCTTAAAGATGGGGGGCGGTGTCCCCTTGCTTTGTCAAAGGGGTGGCAGGAAGAGCCAGAACAAGATCCAGGAGTCTTGGCCACTAGGGTCCCTCTGTCTTCCCTTGAGCAGGTGTCTTTGCTTTCTGGAGAGCTTTCCTTTTCCCAGGTAGATGCCTGGTTCCACCTGCAATGAGGCCGGCTGGGTAGAGCATGCAGTAACAGTGCAGGTGGCTCTCACACTGTGTAGGTGACAACACCCGGAGGTGCTGGTGCTCCTTCAGCGACTGTGCATTGGTCACCTACTGTGCGCTTTGTGTGCATCGTTGTATCTAATCAGCCCTACACCCTGTGGGGTGGATATTATCCCTACTTAGTTTCCAATGATAAAGCCAAGGCTCAGAGAGGTGAAGTAAGTTGCCCTAAGTTACACAGCTAGTAAGTGGCAAGATCAAGATCGGAGAGCAGGGCTGCCGACAGACTCCGCTCTCAACATGAAACTGCACTATTCCACGGGGCCCAAGTTATCAGCCCCACCACCTCCTCTGGCTTCCGGAAAAGTGAGGATTCATGAGCAAGTCTTGCCTCTTCACGAAACAATCAAGCCGAGAGGTAGTCCTCGCAGAATTCCCACCCTCCTTCCAGAATGATTTCCTCTTACCTCCATGACCACCGCCACACAGGTGTGACCATAACTGCACAACAGGCTGCAAAGAAAGCTTTTCTCCAACTCTGGCACCAGGGACCTGTGCCCAGCCATTCCTGGAAACTCATTGTGTGGACACATCTGGAACATATCACAGGCTATCAACGCTTGTCTCCAGTATTCACACTCCATGTGGCCACTCTGCTTTGTCCATCCATTTCTGGTGCTCCTGATCAGCAGAGGCCAGAGTTGTAATGAGTTTAGCTTAAAATCTAGTCTTGATTTGAAAAGTTTAGGCTCACAGAATCTTACATTCACAGAATTTTAAAGCTGGAAAGGATGTTAAAAATTATCCATTTAAACAGAATAGAGAGCCCAGAAATAAACTCAAACACTTATGGTCAATTAATTTTTGACAGAGGAGGTAAGAACTTATAATGAAGAAAAGACAGTCTCTTCAGCAAGTGGTGTGGGAAAGCTGGACAGCCACATGTAGATCAATGAAGTTCAAATACTCCCTCACACCATACACAAAAATAAACTCAACATGGCTTAAAGACTTAAACATAAGACATGATACCATAAAACTCCTAGAAGAGAACACAGGCAAAACATTCTCTGATATAAATCGTGGCAATACTTTCTTAGATCAGTCTCCCAAGGCAAAAGAAATAAAAGCAAAAATAAACAAATGGGACCTAATCAAACTTAAAAGCTTTTGCACAGCAAAGGAAACCATAAACAAAATGAAAAGACAACCTATGGGCTGGGAGAAAATATTTGCAAATGATATGACCAACAAGAACTTAATTTCCTAAATATACAAACAGCTCATGTAGCTCAATAACAAAACAAACAAACAAAAACCCAACCCAATCAAAAAATGGGCAGAAGGCCTAAATAGACATTTCTCCAAAGAAGACATACAGATGGCCAACAGGCACATGAAAAGATGCTCAGTGTTGCTAATTTTTAGAGAAATGCAAGTCAAAACTTCAATGAGGTATCTCCTCACACTGGTCAGAATGACCATCATCAAAAAGTCTACAAATAATAAGTGCTGGAGAGGGTGTGGAGAAAAGGGAGCCCTCCTACACTGCTGGTGGGAATGTAAACTGGTGCAGCCACTACGGAGATTCCCTAAAAAAACTAAAAATAGACTTACCATATGATCCAGCAATCCCACTCTTGGGCATATATCTGGAAAAGACAAAAACTCTAATTCAAAAAGACACCTGCACCCCAATGTTCATAGCAGCACTATTTATAATAGCCAAGACTTGAAAGCCACCTAAGTGTCCATCAACAGATGAATAAATAAAGAATACACACACACACACACACACACACACACACACACACACACACACGCATGTAATGGAAAATTACTCAGCCATAAAAAAGAAAAAATATTCCCATTTGCAGCAACATAGATGGACTTAGAGATTATCATACTAAATGAAGTAAGTCAGACAGAGAAGGACAAATATCACATGATATCACTTATATGTGGAACCTAAAAAAATGATACAAAAGAACTTATTTACAAAACAGAAACAGACTCACAGACATAGAAAACAAACTTATGGCTACCAAAGGGGAAATGGGGAGGGGAGAGTTTGGGATTCACAGATACAAACTACTATGTACAGAATAGATAGATAACAAGGTTATAGTACAGGGAACTATATTCAATATCTTATAATAACCTATAATGGGAAAGAATCTGAAAACGAATATATATATATATACATAAAACTGAATCACTTTGCTATATACCTGAAACTAACACAACATTGTAAATCAACTATACTTCAATAAACAAAACAAAACAAAAAGTTACCCACTTAAATCTCCTTTATTCACAGTCAGGGAAACTGAGGTCTAGAGGTATTCAGAAACCTGCTAAGGTTACAGAGTGAAACCAGCAGTCAAAACACAGCATTATTGAGAAAAGTCAAGTCACGTGATCCCTTTCCCCTTGTCAGTCTGAGTTTTGTTCCTCTCTGACACTTTGCTTGCTTTTCTAGAACCTATTTCTGGGACCCTTCCATCAAGAGATGAGGCAAAGTGGGCAGGACCTGCGGGTGGGCATGACAGAGGGGACGGGAGGTCACTTACCCTGAACCCCAGGCCACGGCTTGGGATCAAATGCACTCTGGTAGATGCTGATCATAGAGCACCTTTGCCTTGGAAACCAGGAACATTTTGAGGCCACAGCTCCGTGTGGCAGGAGGGGGACAAGGCATTTCACAAAGTCCCTCGAACAGACACCAGTGTGAGGAAGCCTCAGTAGTAGGGACATCCAAGGCCTGGGTCTTGGTCCCCAGCAGTCTGGAGAAGCGGCTCTGATGTCCTTGAGAGCTCTGACCCCAGTGTAACCCCTGGTGTGTGGTAGGTGCTCAGTGAATTATCACCTTGGAAACCACCCGGGGAGCCACATGAGGAACCCAGGTGCATCTCAGACGTTTCTCATCCTGTTTGGGACAAAACTGGTATTTCACTCGTATTCTAAAGTTTCAGTTCTGAATGACTTGAGCTGCCTTTACAAAATTCAGTCTATCTTTATGGGAAGGAGATAGGCTACTGTTGACAAGATTCAAGGGAGCCATAGACTTTGCAGGCATTTCTACAGGAAGAGCTCCCAAAAGTCTGAAAGCAGTGATTCTCTGTTTGTTAGAACCACCTGGTGAGATCTGAAAACATTCCCCTTGCCCTGGCCCCACCTGCATAGTTCAGTCGGAACCTCCAGGGGTCGACCAGCAACAGGACGTTGAAGCCCCCAGGTGGTTCCAACGTGACCAGCTGAGATCCCTAGTGGAATAAAGGGAGCCTCCCTTGGTGCCAACTTCGAAATAGACAGCAGTGGTCCTTGGAGAGCAGTGGTCCTTCCCGCGTGATTGCTCCAAACTGTCCTCAAGCACCTTGTTGGTCCAGTTTACCCCCGACAGTGGGGCATGGCTGGGTTCATTTCACTGATCTGATTTGATTTCGGGGCAGCCAGACCCTGCACAGTCCTGGGCGGTACCTTATTGATGGCTCCAGCCTGTTACATGGCTTTGTGGTAGAAAAGGCGGGAAAAAAATTGCCTGTAACAAAACAGAAGGGTCTTGCTGTCATTCCATCGGTTGGTCCCATGTATTACTCTCTTTGCCTCTTCATCTTTGCTGCTAGAGGAATCCAGATGTCTGCTAGCGATCTTGGGAGAAGGGCTTTGAAGCCCAGAGACAATACATTTTCCCAGTGTTTCCCAAGAACCCCATCTGTAAAATGGGAATAACACTGACCTCATAGCATTGAAGAAAGGAGCAAATGAAATTATGGTGGTCATACTATGGGCCCGGTGCTCACCCATGGGAAAGGCATTCACTGAACAATAGCTAATGTTTATATTCACTGACTGGCCAACCCTTCATGATAATACAAAAGACTCAAAAAGTTTATTTTTAAAGAGGATACTCAACTGGTCAGTTCTATTTTAATGTGAAGAATTTCCACTTCTTCACTCTTAACTGCTCAGGTGTGACTTCCCGGTTCACACCTGGCCACTTATGATGATAATGTCCCTTTCGTGGATGCTGATACTCATTACCCCCACGGGGTGGCCACATTTCAGTGCCATAAGCAAAAAGTGTAAAAATCTTTAAAGATACCATCTTTCGTGATCAAAAGAAAGAACTCACATCTTCAACATACTTTCAGGTTCTGACTGCTTTCACAGTCAGGCACGGTAGGGCTCAGGGGACGAGATCCCCCATCAGCAGTCGTCACACTCCCTCACGTGTGTAAGATGCTTCAGCTTGCAGAGCGTTTCCCATAGTCACTGCAGTAACCTTGGGAGAAAGGCAGGGGAGCCTGTGCCCATTTCACAGACAAAGAAACTTTGGACTGAAGTTACTCAACAAAACTGTGTCTGACACACACTACTATATATAAAATAGATAAACAACAAGGACCTACTGTATAACACAGGGAACTATATTCAATTTCTTGTAATAACATATAATGGAAGAGGGGTGGGTATAGCTCAGTGGTAGAGCGCATGCCTAGCATGCATGAGGTCCTGGGTTCAAAAAAACCAAAAAGGACACTATGAACTCATCTATAAAACAGAAACAGACTTGCAGACTTGGTGAACAATCTTATGGTTACTGGGGAAATGGGGTGGGAGGGGATGAATTTGGGAGTTTGAGATTTACAAATGTTAGCCACTATGTATAAAAATAGATTTTTAAAAGTTTCTTTTGTATAGCACAGGGAGCTGTGTTCAATATCTTGTAATAACCTTTAATGAAAAAAATATGAAAATGTATATATGTATGTATGTGCATGACTGGGACATGCTGCACACCAGAGACTGACACATTATAACTGACTGTACTTCAATTAAAAAAAAAAGGGGTCCTGGATTCAATCCCCAGTAACTCCATCAAAAATAATAAGTAAGTAAACCTAATACTTCCACCCCCGGCAAAAAATAAAAACATATAATGGAAAAGAATCTGAAAAGAAAAATATATATGTATGTACATGAACCACTTTGCTTTACACCTGAAACTAATGTTATTGTAAATCAACTACACGTCGACAAATGATAAAATTAAAAAATGGGTCTGAAATGTCTAATATTTCCAAGAAAGCACACTGATTCCAGTAGCTGCAAGAGGAGAGATTGTGTTCACTCGGTAATTATTTACAGCTTCGAACTAATTACTACCAGGGGCCAGGCACTGTTTGAGTGTTAGGAAGGCCAGTGAATGGGACCAACGTGTTGCTGTCCCCATGGAGCCCACAATTTAATGGAGTTTGAAGAGTATGTCTCCAACTTGTTCCTCTGCTCAGGGTGACCAACCTGATCTTAGCAATGACTCTTGAGTATGTATCTCTACTGTGCACACATTTTGGAAAAGGCAGATACTTTTGCTTACCGGCCGGACACAGGTCTCCTCCAAGCCCACGGCTGATGGCACGTCATTCAGTTTGTTCATCTGGTGCCCTCACACGGGGTGATCAGAGCCCCACATATGCTGTCTTTCACATCTCAGGTGTTTGGGGCCTGTGGGCCAAGTGGAGCCCAGCAGCCCGAGGCCCAGCCTCACTTGTGGATCCAAAACTAACAGGGGAGCCTCCTTGGCAACTTCACCACGGTCTGGACTACGAGCCCTGGCCGCAGGCCCGGTGACTTCTGTGTCAGGTGCTGGAGCTGGAAAGGCGAGGGAGAGGGAGGCTGGGGAGCTATTTTCATCTTGTTCCAATGGCTTCAAACACCAGCTTCTCTTGTGCCAGATTTAGATGAACAGTCTTGACCTAAAAAAAGTCAAAAGCTGTGACTCAGGGGAGCTCCCAATTTCCTCAAAACGCCCTGGGCTCCTGTCTGGAACTATTCTGAACAACATCTTTGGATGGTATGAGGTGGACACCGTGTTTAGGCAACCAAAAAAGCTTTTGGAAATCATCCCCCTGGATTTTGGGGCCAGAATGAAAACCACTGGCTTTTGGGAGCCCAACTTGGCATTTTTGCCCATTCTCATTTTTCAATAGCTTGGGTGGAGGGAGAGTTGCACATTCAAGGAAAAATGTGTTTCCAGCCTTTCGAAGTAGAGAATATGGGATTTGCAGACATATCAAGGTGAGCCCAGAGCCCAGATGGCATCTGAGGAACCACTTGTGCTACGTGTACCAGGAACAGCCTTCCCTGGGGAGAGGAGCCATGTGGCAGAGCCTTGATGGATGAACACATTTCATTTCAAACCTCTTCTCAACACCAGGCTGGCCTGAGGGAAGATGGGAACAGGGTGAGTTTGCCCCTTGTGTCCCCTGATCACTGCACAGCCCCTACTCCAGCCCCACTGTTGAGTCCTGTCCGTGTCTTCCTTTCCCAGACAGTACCCTTTGCTGCAAAATGATCTCTCTGCCTTGTCACACCCATCTCATTAAACCACTGTTTCTTATTCATGTAGAACTTCCAGGGGCAGGAGAAAAATGTGTCCCTCACTTTGTCACCATGTCTGAGTGGGACACACAGACAACAGGAGGCCCGGTGTGAGGGCAGATGTGAAGGTTCTGGGGGCTTGGTTCAAATCCCATTCATGCTGTTCCCTGACTGGGTGACCATGGACTGAGGTTCTTCACCTCTTCCAGCCTCAGTTTCCTTTTCTGTGATGGCCTTGTGGGCCACCAATCTACAGAAACATCTCTATTGATGGTTTTAGACCAATACAAGCAGCAATGGTGAGTCTTGTACAAGTTTTGAAACCAGCCTTTGGTGGTGATATCAATGTTAGTGCCACCCAACCACCCCCTCCATCACCGATAGGCTTGAGTAAGAGACAGTCAGATGGCGATGGCAGTGATGCTCCTACGTGTGTGTGCAGAATGTGCCGGGCAGGCTCTGCAGGCAGACAATTGACTTGCCTCTGGCTGAGTGACCTTGGGCTGGCATCCTGGTTCCCGGATCTAGACATGAGGGTAATGACAATGCCCCCCTCCCCTTCACGGTAACGTTACGATGATGAAATGAGCTGATTCATGTAAAGCTCTTGGAACAGTGCCTGGCATCAAAAAGGTACTCAACAAATACTCTTCTAACTAGTAATCTACACTTGTAGAGAATGCTCAGATGTGTCATTTGATTTGCGTTTGATTCCTACAACATCCTGGGACAGGCAGAGAATCATGTCATTTTACAAATAAGGAAATAGATTCAAACAGTGAGAAACGTCTCGCCTGGGAACAGAGCCCAGGGTTTCTGACTCCGAGACAAACACTTTCTCTGCCATGTGAACAAAACAATTCTTAAAACTAGACAACAAAGGCCCATGACAGTCAAGTCAATATTTTTGTAAATTTTGTCAAGGGCTAGATAAAATCAAGCAAAGGGCTAGAATGTGGCTTCTGAATGGCGGGTTCCCCACCCCAATGTCTGTAGCTTGGCAGAGTTGCCAAGTCAGATATGACCTGCCAGGTGACAAGTCTCTGTAAAGATAACCTCAGAGGGATGACACATTTTCCCCCAAAATGACTCATGGGAAGGGTCTGGGCTCTTTCTGGGATGCTGGTGGGTAGGAGGGTTTGGAGAGAGGTGGGAGGTCAGCTGGATTGAAGGAATTTCTTCTGGATTTCAGCTGCTCTTATTAAATTCCCACTTCAATTTAAAAATAAAAAAAAATTTGGTTAAAGGCAGAATCCAATATTCCAACCTCAAAAGCAGTTCCAGAAATACGGAGGAGCGAATGCAGCCAGAGCGTGCTGCCTGTGGAAACACTGATGTCAAAGCACTGAGTCCTTCACTCTGGTCTCTCCATCCACCCACCCACCCATCAGGCCTTCCAGCATCCAGCCATTCTTCCATCAGACATGTATTTAGTATTAATTAAGCTCTGACTCTTACAGCCACTTCTTGAGAGTTACTCGTGGCTTGTCCAGCAGGCACAGTTGCCTCAGCTAACAGCATCCCTGACGTCTCTCCTCAGGGGCAATCCTGGCTCAAAGCAGCAGCTTCTTCTGCTTGGTTTGCCCCTTCCCTCCCTCTTTCCCTTTTGATCTGGGCCAGTGTCCTCAGACTTGGTGAGGATGGTGATTTCCCAAAGCATGGCTATTATTTTGTTTCCATATTTGGCCCACCTGGATGTCATATGTTTAATTTCAAGGCACCATTGGACCCTGTTTTTCCCTGCTTCTTGGAAACAGGTCCTGCCAGAGCTGCCTGTGGGGTCCGCCCCTGCCACAGACAGCTGGTTACACCCACACCCCCTCATCAGAAGAACCCAGAATGATGCTCCCACTGTCGGGCATCCACGCCCCAGGCACGTGGCTGGAGCACGGATGCCCTGAGCTCTTCTCCACTGAAAACAGGTGAGCGAAGGTGGGGGATGGGGACACAATGGGAGGCCAAGAAACAAGCCCCCAGCACCAGGAGACAGGAGATCCGGGAGCTCACCGGTTCGTGTCCTGGCTCTGCCAGTAACTAACTTGCTCTCAGACCCCAGGCAAGCAGCTTCACCTTTCTCTTCTTCATCTTTATCTGTATCTCAGGGATGGGCACCTGCCCCTGGCTACAGGGCGGACCACTAGACACAATATGATGTCACCTGTTAAAAGGTTCCAGTCCTACCTACAAATGAGTTACCACGGATGATCACAGATTGCCAGAGGGGCCAAAGGGAGTCCTGCTGATTCAGATGCCTGACTCTTACCACTTGCTTCACGCTTTTATGTGACTATGAAACAAGATGAACCACCTCCGTGATCTGGGGCTGGAGGTTCACGCCCAGACAGTTCTAGAAAGCGCTGAGAAATCAGAAATCTGTCACACAACAGGTTCATACAACTCAAACGGCAAGTACTTCGAGATGAGAGGTAAGATCACTATTGGTTGTAAAAATGCAACAAAGTTTAAACATCTTTAACAATCGTTTCTTAAAAGGCACCAGCTTAAGAATAGTCAATTTGTGTAAATAGGTCTTTTGTGTTTCTTTTCCTCATAATCCATGCATACATCTTTGTTTCTTCCAGTATTTATCCCACTTCATTTATTTTTTAAATTACTTTCATTTTTCATTCCCTTTGCCCCTTGGCATTTCTCCCGTAAACTGGTCATAATCAAAAAACAAGGTTAACAATAGCAACTACAACCCAAGCCTCGTTGTTCTTACCTGTGTTTGTGGAAAGAGTGTTAAATGCCCTGCTCAGATTTTGAAACTGGATGGGTGGAATATCTTATGAATGGTGAAGCCATCAAACAACAGTATACTAGAATTTTCACAAAAAAATGTTTTGAAACAATCTGCAGAGGATTTTTTTTAGATCCTCAATGAGAGCAAAATCTTCCTTTAAGGGCAGGTGTTCAGAAATGGCCCCAAATAAGTTGGATTTGCCTTTGAAGCTTTAGCATTTCTGTCCCCAGCACCCTCTAAACAGACTTACTTCTCCCTCCCTGCCTGGGGCAAGCTCCCTCGGCTCCATTCTCCAGTCCCCTCCCCTGTCTGCCTGCTCAGCTGTGGGCTCCGGGGAGGGGCTGCCCTTGAACCTGGGGAAGAGGGCATCTCGCCCTGGGCCTTACCCTTTACAGGGGCCCTCTGGTCCTCCTCCAGCCCTGTCCTTCCCCGTGGGGTGAAGAGTTCCTGAGGCCAAGTGGCTGTGCCCTCCTTCTAAACCATCCTCAGGTTCCCAGGAACTCCCAAATTCCCTACCCAAGAGCCTCCAAGTCCAGTTGCAGGGCCCGCATGAGCTCTCTCTCAGATTGCCCAGCTGCTGTGCTGATCTTGGGCCGAGAGGGGGCCGAGGGCAGCTGTTTGTGTGCAGGGCTGGAGTGTCAAGGTGCATTCACCTAAGGCCCCTCATGGTGTGAGACAGAGCTGGGAGTGAAAAGAAAATGGGGCAGGGATTTTCAGCAACATGGATGGAACTAGAGATCGTCATTCTAAGTGAAGTAAGCCAGAAAGAGAAAGAAAAATACCATGTGATATTACTCATATGTGGAATCTAAAAAAAAAAAGAGAAAAAAGGACACTATGAACTCATCTACAAAACAGAAACAGACTCACAGACATAGTAAACAATCTTATGGTTACTGGGGAAAGGGGTGGGAAGGATAAATTTGGGAGTTTGAGATTTGCAAACAATAACTACTATGTATGAAATAGAAAAAAATAAATTCTGTATAGCACAGGGAACTATATTCAATATCTTATAATAATCTTTAATGAAAAGGAATATGAAAACAAATATATGTATGTGTGTGTATGACTGGGACACCGCGCCGTGCACCAGAAACTGACACATTGTAACTGACGGTACTTCAATTAAAAACAGAAAAAGAAAATGGGGCAGGAGGACCTACAGGTTGGGAGTTGGGGGCTCTGCTGCCATACTTGGACTTGGAACTTTGAGGAGTGTGAACATTCTAAATCTGAACCTGGCATTCCACCTTGTTAGGAAAGTATGTTTGTCAAGGTGGGAAGACAGGACATATTTTACATCATGTTTTGTTAGCTTGATTTATCCTTTAAAAATACTGAGGCATATGGCCTGTGGCCTCCGTTTGTACTCTTACCCTGTTTATGTTAAGGTGGCCTGAGCTGGGGCTGGTCTGTTGCTTGATCTCCTGTCTGCCTCTCAGCCCTGTGGGAAGACCCCAGCTTCAGCCCAGATCCTGACTTATAGCTCTCCAGCGAAGTCATGCCACATGGCCCAGAGCCGGCCCCACCCGACCACTCCATCCAGGAGTGGTTCCTGAGAGCGCTGGGAAGGAAATTTCAACATCTGGGAACCAAACCTGGTGAATTAGGCTGGGCCATGAGCTAGAT